GCCCCCTGCCAGAGTGTCCTTAGCGCATACCCCATCACCCCGTGCGTTACAGGGCGAGCGTCCGTGGGCCAGAGCGGGAGCTGGGGGAAGGACATGAGCTGTTGTGTGGAAAGGGGAGAGGGCGAGGTAGGTGCAACCGCGTGCAGGAAGGAGACAGGGCCTGGGTCCGAGTCAGCGTTCAGGAGTGGAGCAGGAGTGGCTGCCAGTAACAGGTCGCTCTGGCTGGATTCAGAGCCAGGGACTCATGGAGCGTCGCTCATGCCCCCGTGTGGCATTCTGGCCCTGGCAGGGGGTGGGAGGGGCACTGGGGCCTGGTCCCGGGCATTGTCCATCATGCATCTGCTGCGTTGCGTAGCCAGGCCAAGGAGCAACTAGCAGAGGTTGCCGGATGAGACTTGCCCCACCCCTGCGTAGCGCTGGGAAAACGAGCCCCAGTCCCGACCGCTCCTGGGAAGCAGCGGTGGCCGCTGGGGTACGTGGCTGCAGCAGATCTGGGCTGTAGCACCACTTTTCACTTCTGATGTGTTAAAAAAAATCAAACCAACCCCACACGCAGTCCCCTTGTGCCGCGGAGTACAGCAGGTCCGGGCCAGCAGAGAGGCCGGGTCTGCTTAAGTAGCTCTTAAACTCCCACCCTTGCCGGCGGGAGGAAGCGTGAACAGAGACAGGTCCCCAGCTGCCCCAGCCCAACGTGAGGCTACGCCCCGCACGGAGCCGGCTACAGCGTGCACCTCTCTCCTGTGCAGGTACAATGCTAGGGAATACTATGAGCGCATTCCAGAGCTGAGACAAGCCATCGACCAGCTCAGCAGCGGCTTCTTCTCGCCTAAAGACCCTGGCTGCTTCCGGGATGTCGTCAATATGTTGATGAACCACGACAGGTGAGAGCCAGTGAACTTGGTCCTTGGTTCCAAGCCGGTGTGGAAGCCCCTGGGATCCTGGGTGCTCCTCACGATGGCCCTCGTCCATTGATGCCTATGGGCTCAATGGCCTTTGGATGAGGCCGGAAATACAGCACTCCGGACCCTCTGGTGCAATATTCCCCATCCAACTCCAGCCTGGGGAGACGTAGTTGGGTGGCCATGGAAGCTGGAGTCCAGATAAGGACGTGGGACCAGGTCCAACCTGCCCTTCGTGAAAGCCCCGGTCCCCTTCCCAGGATGGCCCCACTCACGGTGCCGAGTGGGCTGGACTTCACGCTGCTGCGGAGCGATGCCCCCACGCTCTGGCCTTTGAATCCCAGCCCAGGGCAGCGGCTGGCCCTTGTACCCAGCACTAGTGTGCAGCAGGCATGGCCAGCGTAACGCCCGGCCCAGTGCACGTCGGTTTCACCCACTGGTTCCCTTCTCCTCTCGCTAAGGGCCTGTCCTGGGCGGGGCCTCGCTCACCCGCACCCCAGCTCCCCAGCTCCCTACGCCCCAATGGCTTCGGGGCAGAACGAACCGCCACTGTGAGGCTGGAGAGCAACGTGGACGCCAGGCGAAGGAATCCCCCAGCTGGGGCCTTCCCGGCCCTTGTAACCCTGGTGCTGCGGCCTAGGCTGCTTCCCACGTTGGGCCAGGGCCCCACCCTCCCGTGCTTGGGTTACTGCTGCACGGGGGAGGGTAAAACACCGTGAATCTCAAGCCACAGTTTCCTTCTCCTCCTTGCAGCAGGGCTGGCTTTGCAGGGAGAGGGCTGGTTCCTCCCACCCTGGAAGAGAGCAGGGGGCAGCCCTGGATTCCTAGTGATTCTCTAAAGGCAAAAGCCGCTGATGCGGAGGATCTCTGCCTCCCGGCCCGGCCCGGCCTTACCACCCCTGTACCCGTGGCACCGCCTGTGGCTTCTCTGAGCAGTGCTGCCCTCAGAGTCCCTCCCCGGTGCCAGCGTGCAGGAACTCGCTCCAGGGGCCCTACTGGGCCTGCAGCCATCTACCCCGCTTCCCCACCCACGGACCTGGGGCTTCTGCAGGGGAGTGGGGAGCGCCAGTACCAGGCGATCGTCTCTGGCCTAACGCCAGGGATTCATCTCCCTGCCGCTCCCAGAACGCACAGGGGAAACGAGAGCCAAGAAACAGGCCATGGACTGGTTTATGAGCAGACAGCACCAGTTTCCTTCAGTCTGTGATAGCCGCGTAGGCTCCTTCAGCAGCTCAGGGCTGCGTCGTCTTCCTGCGTCGGCCCCGAACGCTGGAGAAACCCAGCGGCACGTTTCCTGCTCGAAACCTCCGGCAGCACAAATTGTTCACCCTGATCCTTTGCGCTGATCTGAGTTCAGCATCTCACTCTCCTCTGCTCTGGTTTCAGATTTAAAGTGTTTGCTGACTACCAGGCCTACATGGAGTGTCAGGGCCGCGTTGACCAGTTGTACAGGGTAAGATAACCCCGCGGTGCAGCCAACGGGCGGATGGTCAGCAACATTGACAGTAAACGCGAGGCCTTGTCTCCACTCCTGGGTTTGCTGGCGAAGCTAAACCGGCGTAGCACTGCTGGCAAACCCGCCTAGTACAGAGACAGCCTGTTCAGCCAGCCCACCAATATAACTACGTCCGCACTAGGACTTTGCTGTCTTAGAAATGTCACCAAAACTTGTTGTACATAAGAACATAAGAGCGGCCACACTGGGTCAGACCAAAGGTCCATCCAGCCCAGTATCCTGTCAGCCGACAGTGGCCAATGCCAGGTGCCCCAGAGGGAATGAACAGAACAGGGAATCATTGAGTGATCCATCCCGTCGCCCATTCCCAGCTTCTGACAAAAAGTACCGGTAAAAGTTTCTAGTGCAGAGCTGTCCTCAACCACCGTCCTGCTCCAGGTGAAGTGGTGGAGACCCCATCCCTTGGATATTAAAAGTATGTCGGCCAGAAGGCTAGTAAATGTACGCGAGAACAGACCTGCACTGGCCGGGCGCTGGATTAGATGACCTGTCAGGCTTTTCCAGCTCTCGGTTCTGTTGCATAAGGAATCCTGCTGCAGCAGCAATAGGTGTGGTTGTGTTTTCCCAAAGCAGAGTTAACAGGAGCTGCCTGCCCCACGCTCTGACCCAGTCCATGCTAGCGAGGGGGGTAGTCTGTACAGGGCTGTTATTCCAACAGGGAGCATAGAGTGACTGGGAGGGGACGGCCCAGAAGCAGCTCGCTCCTCTGTTGTAAGTCACACTCCGGAAGCTGTGACCCAGGAGGTTTCATGTTGCCTTTTCATCTTTGTTACAGAAGCCAAGAGAGTGGACTAAGAAGGTCATCAAGAACATTGCTTCCTCAGGGAAGTTTTCCAGTGACAGGACGATCACCGAGTATGCCAGAGAAATCTGGGGTGTGGAGCCATCAGCTGTGAAGATCCCCCCACCTAACATCCCCAGGGAATAAGCTGGGCACTAAATGTGTGTCTGGTTGATCCAGGCTTAAGGTGCTTCTGGTTTCCAGCTAGGTTTGCACAGATGAACTTACACTAGTTGAGGGTCTGGAATCTATGAAATAGGGCATTCGCCAGGGAGAAGAGGGTGCTTTTAATAAGAGCAGCGTGGGAGATGTTGGCCAAAGCCTTGTGTGTGAAAACAAGTAAAACAAAAAGAGCAGCAGGAAACCGGGTTAGAACTAAGGCTATTCTGTGTGTTACTCATTTAACCAACTTGCATGTCCTGTACTGTGTTGAGTGAGCTAATGGCTGCATAGGCTTCCTGAAGCTACATCCCATGCTAGGCCACGCACTTAGTGAAATTCTCGTTTTCCTCTTCTGTAGAAAGGCTGCGCTAGTCTCCGTAGAGGGGGTGATCGCTGAACATCCTGCTCAGGTGATCTGCCAGCGTGGTCTGAGCCTACCCACACCTCCCACCCTGCCAGTCACTGCTAGGGGCCTTCCCTGGGTTCTTACACCTTCCAGCCATGGTCAGAGCTGGGACACAGGTTAGGTGAAGCAGGAGTGGAGCCAAAACACCTCATTTTCCCTATTAACGTTTTATGGCTAAAGGTAAATGACCCCACCCTCGCGAGGTGGCTAGTTTTGCTGCATTGGTTGAAATAGGATTAAACTGCACTAGCCAGCCGGCCTGTTTTAATGATCACAAAATGAGATTTATTTATTTTTAAACTGCCAAGTAGAAAACGTGCAGAAGGAGCTCAGCCGAGGGCTTTTGGTGCACACCTGAGCCCTAACCTTATGGTTGCGTCTGTACCTAGCAGTCCCGGGTGAGCTGGAGGACGGGGTGTGTGAGATTCATGCTGAAAAGGGGCAGCTAATGGACTTCAACCAAGATTGAAACCAGCCTCTTTCCTTACCAGGTGGGGCCAGGGATTTTGGGAGTTCGCTGTAAAGACCGCACCTAATTTGAATTAAAAAGCAGCTGGCAGACAGCAATTCAATATGGAGGCACCTCCTGGAGTGGTTATAGGTCCCTGTCTAAGGCACCATCTTGCTCCAAGTTGTGTTTATAGAGCTGCTATGAAGGCATGAGAGAGTGTTTTAGCCTTCACCTAGCATGGGCAAAAGCAGAAGCGCTGTACCTGCTGAGCAGGGCGATGTACAGGACACTGCAAACCTGCGGAAATGCTTCCTAAAGAATTTTGGTTTAGTGAGGTCAAGCCCCCTGCAGCTGCCAGTTTGCAGCTGGGCCTGGCTTGCGCTTTGTAACGCAGACAAGGCCCATGCTCTGAAGAAATACTTGTAAGCACCAGCCTGTAAACGCTGTGCTTGTGTGAGAGCAGGGGGCTGGATGGCTGCTGAGGGGGGTGGGCCATGCGCATGGCCTTGTGCACAGGGGGAAGAGGAGCCTGTCAGCTTAGCACTCCCCCTTTCCCCCCGCCCAAGCCAGCCTGAACCCAACACCCCTGTTTTTATTGTTGGTACAGTTTTGTTGGCCCTGCAGTCAGGGACAAAGACTTACTGTCACTTTCCCTCTGGCAAAGGGTCCTGCATTTACTGTGCTAGCCAAGGGCCCTCACTGGCCACACTGACCCATTCCTGCACAGAACTGCTCCATCCCCTTTTCTACCCCAGTCAGGCTAAGCTGTCTGTGTGACCTAGCCCCAGAAAGAGCCACTGCCTACCCTGTGGTATTGGCTACTGACCAGACCACCGCCATCAAGGAAAAAGGCCCAAAGCTAGACTATCAGCTAGCAGGCAAGTCACTGCCCCCCAAGCCCTTCAGTCTGCTCACAGAGCTACAAGGCAGGGCCAGGACCATGTAGCCCACAGCAGCCTGGCAGCCAACAACCCCCTGCTACAGGGACCGTGACATCCCCAGTGCTCTCAGTGGCTGCCCCCAGTGTCTGAGAGGGGAAAAGGCCTGGAAAGGTACAGAGAGGATCTATAGCAAGGGGCCTCCACAGCCCAGGGCAGGACCCTGGAAGGGCCTGAGAATTAACATCCCAGGGCCCCAGAGAGCCTACCAGCCACAACTGGGCTCAGTCACTGCCCCTATGGTGCTGGAACTTGAAGCTCCTAGTGTTGCAAGAGCCAGCTTCCGGCATGGTCTCCCTCAGCCCAGCTCCCACAGAGCAAGCCCGTCAACACCGAGCGGTCTGATACAATGATTGCATTGTCCTCACCCAGCCTCCCACCTGTGCATTTTCTTAGTCCTAAGAGTGGAGTCAGGAAAAGCACAGACAGTAGGAGCCTAAATACAAGTGAGGATCTGGGCCCAGGAGCCAACAGCCAAATACAGAATTGCTGGGAAATATCATTGGCCACAGCACACTTGAAATTAAGGCATTGTGTCCTGGCTCACCCGCCTCTGCTGTGTACATTGGTGTGTTAACTTACATCATGTCTTTACGCCCATGAGCAACGAAAGGGACTAAGCCTGTCACGTCTCAGCTGGGAAGCAGATACACTTCCTGTGTACAGAAAAGGTGTGCATTGAAATCAAGTACAGCCCTGTTATTTCAATGATCAGAAAGACCAACCCTTAAGTCCACTTAATGATTTTTAACTGTAGTGTTGGTGCAGCCGTGTTAGACCTAGGATTGTGGAGAGACATGGTGGGTGAGGTAACAGCTTTTAATAGATCAACTTCTGGGGTGAGAGACATGCGCTTTTGAGCTACACGGGCTGGAGAAGACCGGAAGAGCTCTGTATAGCGTTATCTCACTCACCTTGTGTCGCTAGAATTTTTAAACGCTGTCAAATTTCTTGAATATATAACACTACTTCTGCTAAAGAATGTACTGTACTTCATCTGCATGCAGTTGCTGCTCTGCGGCCATTGTGTGTTGTGTTGAGCTAGCCTAGGAGGAATACTTGCTGGATTGTCACTGTGTTACTGACATTTCATAGTCTGTGTTCCAGGAACGGGGCTCTTTGAACTGTAACAATAGAACAGAGCTGCTATCTCGGCAATCAACTCGTACTGAGCAGGAAAGTGGAAGGTTTTGAACTTCGAGCATCCCAGTTGCTTCTGTATCTGCCTCTAATGGGACATGGAAATAGATTTAGTGCATTGTTTCAACATGTTGGCATGAAGTATGGATATTAATCTGTGTAGTGAATCCGTGTTCCTCACCTGTGCATTGGAAACTGATTAAAACAATCAGAATGCCCTGCTGGTCTGTGTTCAAATCCTTGGTCTCTAGTACTTATAGTCTCACAAGAATATAAATCTCAGAAATTGACTAGGCTCCGCAAGTTAAGTCACCCATGACGCTGCTTTCCCTCCCCCCACCCCTTTAGCATGGCACCCTGCAGAAGTCATTTCTGGCTATACCCACATCTCCGGTATGCCAGTGACCTGGTCTAACAAGCTCTGGTGCTAACACCTACTCGTGACAAGCTCAGCAACCCCCAGCAGGCTGGGAATTCAGCAGCCATGCCACTCCTGCAGCAAAGCACCTGTGAGGCAGGGCGGAGGGGCAATATGGAAAACAGCTCAGCATGGGTGACGGCCTCCTTCCCACTGCGTTCTTAGGGTATGAAGAATAATGTGCTATAGAAATAGGCAAGAAACATGATAGAAGCTGCTAAAGCCGAAAGTCACTCAGGAGACCGAAGATCCAGATCCACCCAAAGGAGTAGGTGTGGTCACAGTGGGTCCCAGGGAGGGGTGGAGAACAGAGCCCCACCAGGCCCAAAGGTTCACACCCCCAACCGGGCAGCCAATGCCAAGAGTTCTCACCCCTTCACCAACACAGGCCCCCTCAGTGCTTACTTTGGTCCCGCCAGCCTTCATGTCTATGCTGTCGGCTTTGGCCAAAGACTGCTGGCCGGATGAGCTGCCACCCTCCCTCTCATCCCTCCCCCAGACTCATTTACCAGGGCCTAGAACCACAGAACCGTGGCGAGAACAGGAACTAGGTTCAGTGGGGAAGTACTGTGCCCGCAGGTGGTGTTCTATTACCTTCTGCTGCACATGCATTGTATAGTTACAGGTTGTTGCGTAAGCCACCACAGCCCCTCTTTTACCCCATGACATTCATTGGCACAGCCTAGCACTTCTCCCCCTTTGTTCAGACACCAGGAACCTCACCTGACAACAGGAAAAAGTTCCAATGACCGCCTATCCCGTGAAAAGAAGGTGTTGTGAGGCGCGTCTCGCCCCCGCCCCATGGAGAACAGATGGCATAGCCCATTCTGATCTCTCCAGCACTACTTGTCATCAGAAGAGCACCGAGTACCTTCAGAAGCAAAGAGCAAGTTCGGGACCCCAGAAGTAACTCAGAGATACTTGGATGTACCGTTTTTCCTTGGAAACTCACACTGATGGATCCGAGGTTTGCCAACTCCAAGGCAGGCATTCAATTCTGCCTCAAGCTGAGCTCTCTCCTTTCTTCAAAGTTAAAAACAAGACAAATAAGTCAATGGAGTGATCAGAAGTCAATCATTTTATTAAAGCTACACACTTTTAGATAAACATTTCAATCTTAATGCACATTACTGGCCTAATTAACTGGAACGTATGTTGAAATAAACTGCACTGGTTCATGCTTTGGAATCTAATCTGTGTCACATGGGAAGAGAGTCAACATTTTCATTGAAGTTTATACTTTAACATGAGTCAGATGACAGCAGCAGCATTAGATGGAATGTAGAGATTGAATTGCAAAGAGCCAAATAGTGTTTCTGTCCTGTCAATCCAATAAATATCAATAAGTGCATAAAACAGAATTTAAATGTCACAGTTAGCTCAGAAGTGTTATGGGTCAAAACCTTAGTATAACCACACTACGGCAGACAATCTACTGTCTGCTTTGTAACTATTATGAGCCTGTAGCTATAACTTGGATGCATGCTGAACTGGTTACACTACGCCTTATACAACTGTGTAAGAGAACAGACCCCGTCAGGCTGTAAGGTTCACCTCTGAACACTAGGAACTAAAACTATTACACCAAGGATTATGTGGAATGTTTTGTTAGGGCCAGTTCAAACAAGTCTAGAGTACCCTGAAAAGCCCCAGCTTACTGGGTTCTCCAGCTACAGTTCCCATTGTCCAGTATGTGACAACCTCCCACCCCCATGCTAGTGGGGGTGCGGGAGAGGAGGTGCGTGTCCTGAACCAGGAATTGTTTTGTGGGAGCAGTCAGGGAAGGAGGCACAGCAGAACAGGGACACCGGTAATGTGCCTCACTAAGGGTCATGATAAAGGGATGCACAGCCAGCAGCCCAACTTTCCACCACAGAGCAGCTTGTGCATCACCTCCCGCTGTACAAGGAGGAAGCTTCCACTGAGCATCTCCCCCAGTGGAGTGGGGACCTACGAATCTACAGCCTCCCAGGATGGCCTGAACCAGCCCTGTCCCGCCACCCATCCAGGGCAGCACACGTTGCTACGAGGAAAGAGGGACTGAAGCCACAGATGAACCAGGTGTACTCCGTGTGAACAGGAGAGCTGAGTCTTTGCCCAAGGCATGGAAAACAGGGTATGGGGTGTAAAGAAAAAAACAGAACCACAGTTTATTTGCATTAGTAACTATCTACTGCTGCTTGCTTTTAGCTATGCAGGAATTGCTCTGCCTAAGGAACTGACAAGTTCACCTCTCCCTTTGTGCCTGACAACTGGAACTAAAACATGTACGTGAGCGTTTGAGGAGGAAAAAACGCAAGTTTCTTAAGGATCTCTGTCCTCTCATCCCCGAGAAAGTGCTTGTGTCTCTTTATGCTTAAAGAAGAATGGAAGACATTTATTGTTTAAATAAATTCCTACATATTCTAGGCCCATATGATTCAGAGAGGGGGAAAGCTCAGACAAAAATTTAAAAACTTTCCCTAAAATAAAATCCCATCCGTTGAAGTCACTTAAGCTACCAGTACTCCTACCAAAGGTAGATGGGAAGGGGGAAAGGAACACTCCAGAGGTGTGCATGTATGGAGCAGGAATGATACTCAGAAAGAAGGACATGGGGGAGGGGGGAGAATGGAAAAGTGTTACAACATCCCCATTGCATTAAATATTTGTGTCTTACGTCTTTAAAAACATTCTTTTTATTTCAAAAGGAGTTTGTCTTGCAAGTCCCCTTACGCTTTTGCAGTACACATCAAATTAAAAGTTAACTGATTTCAATAAAACATCACTGTTCCCCATGATCTTCAGCACTTTCCTGATTGCAACCACTGAGAGAAAATGATGAACTAAATATATATTTTCTATAAAGGAAACACCCTGGAACTGAAGCAAGACAGCTGCAATATTTAAAGATGGTCACAGCCACCATTTTGTGGGTAAATCACAGTCCATTTGTGATCCAAAATGTTACGCTGTTTTTAAATGTAAAAGAAGTGCCATTTGTCCTAATACGTGTTTTCTAGGAACCTCTGTTCTTTTAATTATTATGCTGCATTGGTAGCTCTTTGTTGTGCTCAAGTTTTGAATGGGTTGGCATTGGTGCATGGGTTTGTTTTTCTGTCCATGTTAAAACAGAAGCCAGCTAACTTCATTTCTTTCTCCTCCTCCTGTCTTAGACACCGATGTGGGAGTCTGGGTTTCCGAGGATATGCATCAGGACAAATGAAGGATTTCCTGGCTTAGCCAGTGCCAGGCGCTAAAGAATTGCAGACTGACCCAAAGAAAACAAAAAAACAAAAAGAAGAACCTTAATGCTATCACGCAGCCAGTCTTCAGTGATGATGTGCATGTTCAGATTTTCCCAGGAATTCCCTACAAAAGAAAACAAGAAACCGACAGTGACTAATCCACTCTGCCACTTTCCAAAACCAGGTCACACTTCTCTCAGGTCTGAGGCACAGCCCATTAAAATCAAGGCGTCTGGCTACGCTGCCGGCGAAGGTGTGATTGTAGCACAGGTAGGCATACTTGGGGGAGTTTCAGTCTCGCAAGCACGGGTAACAGCAGCAGTGTAGATGTGGTGGCATGGGCGTCAGCACAGGCTGGCTGCCTGACTACGTATCCAGACTTCCTGGAGGGCTTGTATGCCGGTTGCTAGCCCATGCCACCACAACTTCACTGCTATTGTTGCACGTGGTAGCTAGATTAAAGCTGTGCCATACTACAGTCACACTCACGCAGCAGTGTAGACATTCCCAAAAGGGAGTCTTTGCATTGACTTCAAAGGGAGCACAGAGCGCTTCCGTTACAGCAAACAGGAACCCCCAAGGTCTATCAAGAGCATCTGCCCTCCTTTGTATGATCTGACCTGCTGATAAACTATCACGGGCAGTTCTACAGGGGAAACCTCACTCTGGCTCTGGGAGCCTGATTTCCCAATGGGATAGTCACTGCTGACTATGAATGCCCCAACGGTTAAGAGGGAGCTGGGCACAGGGCAACAGAGGTGACATCTTAAATGCCCTACACTTTGGCATTTCCACTGAACGAATGGTTCCCTACCTCTCCATAACTGTTGTTCTTCTAGCTGCGTTGCACATGTCGATTGCATTGTAGGTGTCTGTGCGCTCTACTGCATAGCGTCAGAGATTTTCCCCTTAGAGCATCCACTGGGGAGTAGGAGCGTTCGCTGTTGCCTTGCTCGCCACATGCAGGCCACAAAGGGCCTAGCCACTCTGACCCCCCAGGGTCCTTCCTATGGGCAAGACTGCAGCAGAGAGGGGAAGGAGAGCGGGTTGTAGAATGGACATGTGCAACACATCTCAAAGAGCAATAGTTACAGACAGGTTAGTAACCCTTTTTAATTCTTGGAGTAATTGCACATATCCATTCCACCCACAAGCAGTCGCAACTGGAGATGGGTTCGGACTCTCTTTGAACGGGCTGGAGGACCACTCATCCAAGCATAGCTTCGCCTCTACATCATTGAGAGAGGGTGTAGTGGGGGGCAAACGTGACAGGATGACCAGGCTGCTGCTTTGCAAATGTCTAACATGGCTTGTGAGCCAGAAATGCCGCAGCGGTTGCTCGGGATCTACCTGAAGGACTCAGTGCTCTATCCAGCGGATTCACATTAGCCAGCTGGTAACAGGTGAATAAAACCGGATGTCAAAATCCTTTGTGTGGAAACACACCTGCCCTTCGCTCTGTCCCAAATGCAATGAACAATTGAAATGAAGACCTGAAATATGTAGTCCATTCCAGATAAAATGCTGAAGCTCTTCTGATGGCTACAGTGTGTAGTCTCTCCTCCCCTTTACT